AAAATGGTGTCAGTTCTTTTGCTCCATCAGTGCTTGGGTCCCTATATTTCCCAGCATCCTTTTCTCTTGAGTTTGATTCTGCCTGCACTTTCTCAACAAAATCAGCCATGAAAAAAGAGACAACTTTTCAATAACTGCTGTTAAGTGAACTTTGTCCTAAGTTGTATTTATTCTTCTTCAAAACATCTTAACAGCACAAGGTGAGAAAGGCATCCTCAGAATTGTATCCTTCAACTGTCTACCCGATGACAATTGTACTCTATAAGAACAATCACTACCTTATTTGGAACTGCGTTTTGCGCTCCGTCTAGCCAAGAATGTCTTCCTAACACCCTAATTTTTTCTACAGTGGTCAATCCTATAATTCCTTTTTCTATGCTTTAGATGTGAATGGAGACCCTTCACCCACATAACATGTCTTTAAAGCTGGAGTGCAGCATTTGACAGCCTCTACATCTAACTCTGTCCCAGAGTCAGAGAATGTATCCCTCAGCCTCCACCTCGTGGCGCACACCTGGTCACCAACGACACAGGCCCTACAGTCTGTGGCCTCTGCCAGCCCTCCTGGCCTTAGCTCCTGCTATTCTCTCCTTACCCCCACCATGCCCTGATGATGCTGAAACTGATGGCCGACCTGATGAAGCCTGCCAAACCTAATCTGCCCCGCTCACCTTCAATCTCTTGCTTCTTAGTTAGTCTTAAAATGTATGTAACTAAAAGTCATATCGCAAAGCAACCCAGCCTATTCCTTATAGATAACCTCTTTGATACATAGGTCCCATCGTGGTGGTTGCTTAAATTTGGTTTTCAGAAACTAGGGGGCAATTCTTGTCCAGTTCAAGCCAGTTGAGACCACTGACCCTTCAACTGGGTCTGCACAAATGCTGGAGAGGTGACCTTTTGATGTCAGAGGAACAAAGCTCCTCCCTCAGATAATATACTGTTTTCTATGAAGAACCATGAAACTTGACGATGCATGTGCAGGTTGGTGGTGACCTCACAGTCCTTTTCCCAATCACCGTTCCCCACTGCTCGGACTACCTCGCTCCTCTCTCCCACAAATATCTCTAAAACCCCATCTTTAAGGCAGATTTGAGATCCATTCTCCTGTCTCCTCACACGGCAACCTTGTGAATACAGTCTTTTCCCTTTTTCAAAACCCGCTGCTTCAGTGATTGGCTTGCTGTGTGTGGCAGAGCAAACCTGGTGCCTAACAATGCCAACCAGCACTCTTCAAGTCTCAAGAGGACCCAGAATATGCCAAGCTTCGGTGCCTCTGCTTGTGCTGGATTCTCCATTCACCTTGGGAGCACTTACACACAGTTTGAGACACGAGGGGCCCAGGCTGAGTTCATAAGGACGAGCTTGCATACATTCATTACTGTGTGTGCTATACCAACCCTAACCAAGCATCAAGTTAATCATAAACATGACAGGTTTAATTGTCAGTGATGTTTCTTTGTGGACATTATTGCGTATCTTCTTAATATTTGCTTTCACAGTTTAACAGTCCCAGAGAATGTCTACTTTTCTGCTAAGGATCAAATTCTCATTTCCTCAGTCAGTTATTGCCTCATCTGATCTGCCTTTAAGTCAATCCACCCAGGCTAAGGTTCAGTTCTACTGACTAACACCTTTAGGAGACTACCCTATGTTGAGTATACTGTTAGGATACTTTATTGGGTTCTCATTGTGGTGGATACATCTTTCCAAATCACAGATCAGGGAAAAAGGTTGAACAGGGATTTTGTATGATATATTTGTATGTAAGAGGCAGCCTAAATTTCATAGTCTAGATGCTATTATATTAAAATTTTTTGGACATTATGCAAATTATGGGACCACGGTACCCAATACTGTAAGGGGAAATTGGACTGGTCTGGAAATACTGACATATGGCTCCCTGCCATGTTTCTGAATCTTATTGCTCTATTCTCTTTTGTTTCACTACCCAAGACAGAGAGAGGATTTTAAAAAATGTACACAGTTAAATAAGACCTTCCAATATCATACTTGCGATTGAAATCCAACAAATATTTGGAAGCAAAGGAAATTTTCTTAGTAGATTCCATTCGACCCCAATTCTCTTCTTAATGGACGGAAATAGTCTTAAGATTTAGGAATCCAGTTACCCAGACATGCAGGAGATTTACTGAACCCGAAAACCACCCAGGAGCTATAATGGGAGCTCCCAACCTTAGCACCCCATGTATCAGTTGGCAAACAGACCTCTTTCAGCAACTAAGGCACAACTACCTGCTGTTTTCAATTACTTCTTGCTTGATAAATGCAGTGGAAGCTACCCGTGTAGTTTCTGTAAACTCCACCAAGTGCAGGAAGAAATGTTCAGAAGTCTTCCCACTGTGGGGAGACTTTCAAAGGCATCTGTCATGACTGTAGGGGAGGAACCTTGGAGAATTTTTAGTGTTAATAAAGACATCTTGCAGGAGGTCTTGCACTTAGGGCCCCTGAGCTTTTTCAAAGTGATTTCTATTTTTGACTTCTCACTCTTTGTTAGAACCAAGAAGACGTGCATCAGGGATCTTAGACAGGAAATGAATATCCTTTAAAGCTTCTGTACCCTTCAAGAAAGGTAGTTTAATGGCTTATTATGAATACTTTATAGGTTGTTTGTTGTTGTTATTTGTTTGCTTATTTGTTTTGGCCTCTGTATCTTTTTTAAACATTTTTTTATTTATTATAAAGATGTGGGGTACAATTCAGAGTTAGGTATAAAAACAGTAATCATGCAGCTACCCTTGTTGATGAGGTATGCCCCTCCCTCAAGGTCACCTTATGAGTGAAAACATATGGACTCAGTTATTTGTTTCTGTGATAAATCACGCCCTCTGTATCTTGAAAAGCACAATAAAATATGTGTACTGCCCCTTCTGAGAATGGATGGCTGAGTGGATAAAAAAAAAAAAGAAAATTAAATAACAAATATATTGACACTTTTGTATATTCTATCTTTGTTAGATTTTGGCAGCTTCTATGAGGGGGTAAATATTCTACCTTAAATGTTATTATGCTATATAACATAGAGAGAGAGGGCTAGAGATATACAGAAATAGACACAGCTATCTGTCCTTCTCATCTGCTACCCTGTAACCCTAGGAAACAAGATTGCTATGTGGAGACGATAGGTAGGAAGGATTGCCACGGATAAATGGTAATAATAATTCTAACCATAATAATGGCTAAAACAAGATTGAGTATTTAGAATATATTACACACTGTGTGGTCACATGCATTGTCTCATTTAACTCTCATAAAAACTCACAAAATGAATATTCTTATTACCTCCATTTTCAGGTGAGAAAAATAAGACTTACAGAGTAAATTTGTCTGAGCTTATATATTTAGTAAGTGATAAAGCAGAGATTTGAACAGAAATCACCCAGCTCCCAAACTCACAGGTGAAAATTTCAGGCAGAAGAAACTGTGTATGCAAAGACATTCAGATCCTGTTTGAACAAGCAGATCTTGTTGGAAGAACTCCACAGCCCAGGGTGAACACGGTGAATCAAATGGTGGGTGACCTGACTGGGAAGGGAAAAGGGAGTCTGATCAAGAGAACTTGGATTCTTGGGAGTTAGATTTTATCCCAGGCAGGAGCATCAGGTATGATGAGAAGAAGACATAGTGAAATACTTGGGAAACAAAAGTAAACAGGACCTAGTGATTTCCTGTTCATCTGTCCAAACTGCCTTCCCAAGTGACATAGAAAAGTCACCCTACTCCCTGAGCACATTGGTAGTCTTCCTTTTTAAAGATACTACAGTAGGTCGGGCATGGTGGTTCACACCTGTAATCTCAGCACTTTGGGAGGCCAAGGTGAGAGGGTTCTCTGAGCCCAGGATTTCGAGACCAGTCTGGGCAACATGACGAAACCTTGTCTCTACGATAAATTAAAAAAAAAAAAAAAAAAAAGCTGGGCGTGGTGGTGTGTGGCTATAGTCCCAACTACTTGGAAAACTGAGGCAGAAGATCACCTGAGCCCAGCAAATGAAGGCTGTGGTGACCATGAGTGTGCTACTGCACTCCAGCCTGGGTGACAGAGACTCCAACTCAAAAATAAATAAATAAGAAGATACCACAGTAAAACAAATCAGTAAAGTGATGTAACTATTGGAGGTGGAGGTAATTTATTTTTCTTTCTTAGTTTCAAACTTGGTCATATTATTCCACTTCAAATCCAACAATTCTTATTAGAACAGACATATGCTACTCAATTAAAGTCATGTTTTATTTCAACATTGATTAGATTTTGGAGGAAGGAGTGTCTAAATAGAAGAACCAGTGAGTCAGATATAGCTAATAAGCTTCTACACCTGGGAGCAGAGATGTTGCATCATCCAGGAGATGTTTCATTCCCACACGGAGATGGCATTTTCCATATTTTTCTTGATAAGATGAACGTGAGTAATTGAAAGGGAAGTTGAAATCAACATATGGAAGAGAGTGGTTATGATTTATGAGATGAAAATCAAACTCCTGTATAGCCAAACTCACTAAGACTTACATAAAGCTTTTTTCATCTTCTTCAGACAAAATTCCCATAACAAGAACGTCACACGTTCCTAAAGTACATGAAACTCTGATATTCGAGTTTATTGTCCAGGAGTGTCTGGCCTCACCCTGACCTGAGACCATTCTCCGTCCCAGAAGCACTGCCCCAAAACGTGCCTCCAGAAGCAATATGTGGGAAATGTGCTCACAAATTGATGTGGATCTGGAAACTGGCTGATCCTGCATATATTATTTCTACCCATAATCAGCTTCCAAACTCTCGTTTGCTCTATCCTGTCCTGTTTCACACCCTGCTGGGCGTCTCCAGCTAGCTTCCCACTGTGTCCCCTGTTGTAGAATTCTGTCTCCCTTCCCATCACTAAGACCTCAAGCTCCTGAATGACTCCCTTGGTAGCCTCCTAAGAAGCACGCTAGCAACCTGTCCTCGGGCCCTTCCCTGGGTACTATTTGGTTTCCTCATCGGTAAGATGTTCCCTCAAGGGCTGACCCAGTGGGCATTCCCGATGTGCTCACGACACAGCTATGCATACGGAAATTCCGGGTAAGCCTTAACCATCCACCGAAGTGTAAACTCCACATAGGCAGGAATTTGGGTTTGTTCGGTTGACCGTTCATGTCCCTGGTATCTAGAACAGGGCCTGGAAGATAGACAATGCTCAATAAATACTTGCTGAATAAAAAAAGTGAATTTTATTTCTACAAATTATTTCTTTTTTTATAATCAATATTTTTTATTATGCTATTGTGGGGTACAGTTAAGGGTTAGGTATACAAATATGCTTCGTTCAGGCACCTTGTTGATAAGAGGTGTCTCCCCGTCCCCAGACAGATATTTACTACCGTTAATCCTATCTCCCTTCCCCTCCCCCCCATGGTTTCCCACCACTGTCAGTCCTTTTCTTATAGTATTACGTTGAATGTTCAAGGTCCACTATATAAATGAGAACATGTGATACTCAGATCTTTGTTTCTGTGAGAGGTCACTCAGAATTATAGACTCTAGTTCCATCCAGGTTGCTGCGAAATTCATGATTTTGTTCTTTTTTATGGCTGCGTAGTATTCCATCGTGTATATGTACCACATTTTTTAAATCCAGTCCTCTTTTGATGGACAGCATGGTTGCTTCCAGATTCTTGCTCTTGTGAACAATGCTGTGATAAACACACATGTGCAGGTATCTTTTTTATAGAGTGATTTGAGTTCTTAAAAATTATTTCTATAAATTTATTTCTACAAATCAAGTTTTCAGTTCTCCTTTTATTTTTTTCCCCTAATTCCATGTGACTACTTTGTTCATGAACTTATTTAGTAACACTAATAACTTCTTCCATTATTATGAATTTACCTAAGGATAGGTTTGACTCTTTACGTGTTGACAGAGAGTATTCTATATATTTTTTGAATTCAAAGTGACCAATCATCTTTTTCAATCAAATTATTATTGAGATGAATATGTCCTCCTTGTAAGCTCTGCATGATGAAAATTTAAAACTTTACTTATTTATCATTTTAACACACAATGATGACAAAATGAAGCTCAGGATTATGTTTCTGGATCATCTTGGTCACAAGATTTCTCTGCACAAGATTTGGAAGGTGGGAGTAAAACAGACACGTGACACTCAGAAGGTCGGAGGAAGTTTGGTGTGATCGTGGCTCATACACATCCACTGGATCACTTGATGGTGTGGGAATAGGTGTGTGCCTAGCCCCTCCAGCACCACTGTATCTTCTCCTTCAGCTCCTTCAAATCACAGGTCGGGTTTGTGCGTAGTTCCAGGGTGGCATGGGCTGGTTTCTCCAGTCACCTGCCTTGTTGAAATGGAAGCTTGGAGGTGATGTGAAGCCAGCCAGGGTTCCCGCTCATTCTCACTTGTTGCTGTTTGTCTTTGCTCCTCTTTGCTTCTTTTCTTCCCTCCCCGATGACCAGCCTTACCCTCTCATAAGCCCTTTATTCTCTTTATTATCTATATTCCTAGTTGCTTTACTTCTCTACTGGAACTCTGACTGATACACAGTTTGGAATTAAGGGTAGTTCCAGAAGAACAGAGGCTTAAGGATAGGTTTTCTGAATTAATTCTGCTATGAAATTTGTTGCTAGGCCTAATTTAAATGTAAGACATTAGTGACCTTATTTCCAGTGGTAAGGAGGCAATGATAGCCATGGCATGCAGTGGCAACATTTTCATGTAGACATCTGCACCTCAATTGCCTACCACAGAATGGCTACCACAGAGCATTTGGGTGGAAACGAACGTATAATGGGGTTGTTTGGTTGCTCCTAAGTATTCTAGAGAACTTGGGGAAAGAAAATAATGAGGTCGGCCAGGGTCAGTGGTGCAGCCTATAATCCCAGCACTTTGGGAGGCCGAGGTGAGTAGATTGCCTGAGTCTGCGGGTTGGAGACCAGCCTGGGCAACTTGGCGAGACCTCTACAATAAATCAAAAATTAGCCTGGTGTGGTAGCGCATGCTTATAGTTCTGGCTCATTGGAAGGCTGAAGTGGAAGGATTTCCAGCCTGGGCGATGGAATGAGACTCTGACTCAATAATAATAATAATAATAATAATAATAATAATAATGAGGTCAAGGCATTAAATTTCTACCTTAAAATCTCTGTAAGAATCCTGCAAGCATCTGTGACTGTTCTAAAAGAAGCTCTTGTAGCCATGGGTTAAAATTTCTAAAAACCAAACCCAAATCGAATCTGGCAGGTGTCTGAATTACAATGCAAACTGATTTTCTAATCTAACAGGCTCCCTTGTTTTCAAGTTAGGGCATTGGCTAAGAAGACGTGGGATCCCAAATATTGGGATGGGATCACGTGGGACCTTAAACCCAGTTCTGTGTACGGCTATGTTGGTGCCTGAAGCAAAATGAGAAAATCAGTACCACTTATATTGTCTTTAACTAACAACTTTGATGTGTTTTCATCATGGATCTTTTTGCACTAATGTTGAGTTTTTACCAGATGGCATTGCATGGTATTGATCTTGATTACTGAATTTTTGGTGCCTTTCTAAATATCGCACCCAAGGCAAGTGCCTCATTCGCCTCACTTCAGTCTCCACCCTTCTGGAACCCCTAAGTCCTGCCAAGTCCCCTTCGTGAGTCAAAGCAGCTGTCCATCCCTGCTCTGAAGAGGTGAGTGAGTCTTTCCCTTACCTGAAGAGGCTTTAATGGCCTCCTCGGCGGTAGCTGCCTCGAAGAGAGGAGTCATGATCCTCCTGAGAATCACCTTTCACTATTGCGAGCCCCATAGTCAGGCTCAAGCCAAAACCCTGACTGATCCAACGGGGAAGGGTGCCCTGGTTGTTGACCGTGGGCGTCAGTCTGAGTAGACAGGCTTCTGTCCTGAATAGCCATTGTTCATCCCTCGTTAAATATTTTGGCTTTCACTCAAACATTTGTAAGTAATATCATATTAATATCTTCATCAACACCTTTCAGAAAATCGACTTGATGTCATTGCTATGCTGAGTTCCTCTACAATAATTGTATTTGTTCTTTTTTATTTTAATTTTTAGCAGTTTTGGCCCTCGAAGGGTAGACTTTTTTTTTTCTCTCACAATTACGCTCATAAAAGAAAATGAAGACATTCAAAATGCCCAACTATAGTTTCTCTGGTTGGAAATTTTCCTACAAAACTACCTGGACCTGATGATTATAGAAAAATGAAAATATAGAGTACTATATTTTTAAAAAGTAAAAATTCCTTCTAATCCTTCATTTGGAGATAGCTCTTATTGGCATTTTAATTGTGTATCTTATGAAAACTAAGGTTACAAAGCATGTATCAGTTTGGATCAGCTATTTTCCTCGTCTCTCACACTGGAGAATAAAAAGAATTATCACCAGCCGGGCTCGGTGGCTCAGCCTGTAATCCCGCGCCTTTGGGAGGCTGAGGTGAGTGGATGGCCTGAGCCCGCGGGTTCGAGACCCGCCTGGGCAGCGAGTCCTCATCTCTACAATAAATCAAAAAATTAGCTGGGCGTGGTAGCACGCGCCTGTAATTCCGGCTACTTGGAAGGCTGAGGCGGAAGGATCGCCAGAGCCCAGCAGGTCGAGTTTGCGGTGGCCGGGAGCGGCCACTGCACTCCAGTCTGGGCGACAGAGTGAGACTCCAACTCAAAAAAAAAAAAAAAAAAAAAAGAATTATCAACTATCTGAAGGTGGTAAATTGCTTAAGAGACATATGCACATATTATCTGGGTTTTGGAGGTAACCATTAGGAGAACTGACAACAGAATGGGTCAGGATTGATGGCCTCTTGGGATGGAAATTCTAGGGTGAGAATGAAAAAAAACAGTTTATTCTTTATTTTGTACCTTTCTGTTGAATTTTTAATTTTAATGTGTTCATATATTTTTCCTAAATTATAAAAAAAAAACCTTTTAAGTAAATGAACAGATGTTTCAATATTAATAAAGAGGTATAAGGAGAAAAGGCTGGGTTTGAAGGTAATGGACTTCAGGTTTCCACATTTTTACAGTCATACATGTCACTTTAGAATGTATATCAGAAGCTAGGCTGCGAACATAAATGCCCCTCTCATGTTATTTACTCATTTGTTCACAATATTTTTGGTAATAGTAATTCATATCACTGTAGAAAATGTGAAATGTGGAGAGCCGGGCTCGGTGGCTCAGCCTGTAATCCCGCACTTTTGGGAGGCTGAGGTGAGTGGATTGCCTGAGCCCGCGGGTTCGAGACCCGCCTGGGCAGCGAGACCTCATCTCTACAATAAATCAAAAATCAACTGGTCATGGTAGCGCATGCCTGTAATTCCAGCTACTCGGAATGCTGAGGCGGAAGGATCGCCGGAGCCCAGCAGGTCGAGGCTGCGGTGGCCGGGAGCGGCCATTGCACTCCAGTCTGGGCGACAGAGAGAGACTCCAACTCAAAAAAAAAAAAGATGTGGAGAAGTAGACAGGAAAAGGTAAAAACCTCCTATAAATCCACCTCTGGAGTCAGATCTTATTAACATTTTATTGTGTTTTATCAACACGAAGATTACAAAGTATACGTTATTTGGATCACCTAACAATACATTGAATTCACTTAAACTTATTGGATTCACTTAGCAATACATTAGACCATTTCCTCAATATTCTTAATTATTCTTTTGCATTATCATTTGCAAATGCCTTCATAATAATTTATCTTTTGATATACTATAATGTACAGCACATCAAAATAGCATGTAGCATATCAGAAGATAAATTATTAACAAAAAGATAAAATATCAACAAATTTCTTGTTTGCGTTGTTGTTTTTCTCTTTTGTTTTTGCTGTTATTTCAGGTTCTGGAGATAGAGAGCATGAATTTGTGTACTTACGGTTGCACATTCTTGACGACTTCACCTCACCTCTAAGTCTACTTAGTTTCCCCTGCCAGTGGGAGTTATAAAGAGAGTGCCTGGAGAGGTTTTTACAAGGCCGAAATGGGGTGAGGTGTATAAAAGCTTTAGCATAACAGTCGGTACATTGTAAGCACTAACTGAATGGTAGCTAATTTTATTTAAAGTATTGGCATAAAC